AGCAGCAGCCACCACAGTAGCTGCCCAGACCTTGGTGATGCCTCAGCAAAGTCTATGGTCGAGCTCCGTGTGAAGAGCAGGCTGCAGACAATGGGATCTGCAACCTCCGGGGAGAGAACTAGAGTCTCTTTGCATTCTCCTCGGTGGAGAGTTTCACAGACAGAGCTGCCCCGTCGCCATCTTGCTCTGCCCCGAGAAAACTCTTAAATGAAAGGCTTTTTAGGCCTTTGTCACTACTGTAAATTGCAAGACTTTATTTTGGCCCTCAAAAGCCAAGATTTTTATTTATTTACTTATATTTTTCTTTTTAGTTAGAGTTTCACTCTGTTGCCCAGGCTGGAATGCAGTGACACTCTCACAGTCACTGCAATCTCCACCTGCTGGACTCAGGTGACACTTCTGCCTCAACCTTCCAAGTAGTTGGAACTACAGGTGCATGCTACCATGCCTGGCTAATTTTGTTTTGTTTTTTATTGCAGAGACAAGGTCTCACCAAGTTACCCAGTCTGGTCTCGAATCTTTGGGCTCAGGTAATTCTTTCATCTCGGCCTCCCAAAGTGCTGTGATTATAGGCTTAAGCCACTGCACCTGATCTTTTAGTTTTATTTTAAAGATGTGGGGTTCAATTCAGGATTAGGTAAAGAGGACATCATACAGGTAAAGTTTGGGCTTCCCTTTGGTCCCCATTTTGCCTGGTTTGAGATCAGGTACCCTTATTGATGGTGTATATTGCCCTCCCCACCCTGGCAGTATCCTGCTACTGTCAATCTCTCTCTTATAATATTATGGTAAATGTTCAGGGTCAGCTTATGAGTAAGAACATGTGATACTCTGTTCTTTGTATCTGTGATAGATCACTGAGTGTTATAGACTCTAAATCCATCCAAGTTGCTGTGAAGTTCGTATGTTTGAGCTTCTTTATGACTGCATAATATTCCATTGTGTATATGTATTATATTTTTGTTATCCAGTCCAGTTTTGATGGACAGCATGGTTGGTTCCATGCTTTTGCTATTGTGAGTAGAGCTGCAATAAACATGCTTGTGGAGGTATCTTTTTTTGTAGAATGATTTGATTTCCTCTGGGTATATTTCCAGTATGGGGATTGCTGCGTCATATGGAAGGTCAATGTCTAGTTCTTTTAGAAATCACCATACTGTTTTCTATAGAGGTTGAACTAGTTTGTATTCCCACCAGCCATATGGAATTGTTCCTTTTTCTCCACATCCTCACCAGCATCTGTTATTTTTTGTTTTATTAGTGATGGCCATTCTTACTGGGGCTAGGTGGTATCTCAATATGGTTTTGATCTGCATTTATCTAATGACAAGTGAGGCTGAGCACTTTTTCATGTGTCTGTTGGCTGCCCATATATCTCTTTTGAGAAGTATCTTTTCATGTCTTTTGTCCATTTTTTAATGGGGCTGTTTTTTCCCTTGTGGCACTTTTGAGTTCCTTGTAGATCCCGGATATCAGACCTTTGTCAGATATACAATTGGCAAATATTTTTTCCCATTCTGTGAGCTGTCTCCCTGCCACCAAATGCAGCTGTACAATTGAAGTATATCAACTCACCTGCCACTCATTGATAAGAGTTTTGATATGAATATGCAAGTAATTGATTTATTATGGTCTCTGTGCCATCATTTCTCACTGCTAATTTCACTGACTCATATTTGACAGAAACTGTTATGGAGATTTTACCAGCATCTGTTATATTAATATTTTTAATAAAAGCCACCCTGACTGGTGTGATATAGTATCTCACTGTGGTTTTGATTTGCATTTCTCTGATGATTAGTGATGTTGAAAGTATTTTCAAATGCTTGTTGGCTGCTTGTATATCTTTGAGAAGTGTTGTTCATGCCCATTGCCCACTTTTTTTTTTTTGAGTTGGAGTCTCACTCTGTCGCCCAGACTGGAGTGCAGTGGCCGCTCCTGGCTACTGCAGCCTCTACCTGCTGGGCTCCGGCGATCCTTCCGCCTCAACTTTCCAAGTAGCTGGAACTACAGGCATGCGCTACCACGCCCAGTTAATTTTTGATTTATTGTAGAGATGAGGTCTCATCAAGTTGCCCTGGTGGGTCTCAAACCTGCGTCCTCAGGTAATCCACTCACCTCAGCCTCCCAAAGCGAGAGATTACAGACTGAGCCACCAAGCCGGGCTTGCCCACTTTTTAATGGTGTTGTTAGCTTTCTCCTGTTAATTCCTTTGAGTTCTTTGTTGATTCTGGATATTAGGCCTTTGTTTGATTCACAGTTTGCAATTATTTTCTCCCATTCTGTAGGTTGACTTTTAACTTGGTATTTGCAGCCACTCCTCAGCGCTAGCATCACTGCCTCAGCTCCACCTCAGATCATCAGGCATTAGATTCTCTGAAGGACGCACAACCCAGATCCCTTGCATGCACAGTTTATAATAGGGTTCGTGCTCCTATGAGAATCTAACGTGCTGCTGATCTAACAGGAGATGGAGCTCAGGTAGTAATGTGAGCAATGGGGAGTGATTCTAAACACAGATGAAGCTTCATTTGCTAGCTGCTACTAAACTCCTTCTGTGTGGCCAGGTTCTTAACAGGCCACAGACTGGACTGTACCAGCCCATGGCCCAGGGGGTGGGTATCCTGATTTTTTTTTTTTTTTGAGTTGGAGTCTCACTCTGTTGCCCAGACTGGAGTGCAGTGGCCACTCCCGACCACCGCAGTCTCGACCTGCTGGGCTCCGGCGATCCTTCCACCTCAGCCTTCCAAGTAGCCGGAATTACAGGCATGTACTACCATGCCCGGCTGATTTTTTGATTTATTGTAGAGATGAGGTCTTATTGCCCAGGTGGGTCTCGAACCCACGGGCTCAGACAATCCACTCACCTCAGCCTCCCAGAGGTGCGGGATTACAGGCTGAGCCACTGAGCCCGGCTGGTATCCTGATTTAAAGGGATGACAAATAATTAACCTTTGACTGGGATTATAATTTGAAATTTATGAGGTGAATAAATTGAAAATGGGCATTTTATGTGCATTAAATTGCATAATGATAAAAAGGCATATGAAATCAAGGAGCTTGTAAATTTGTGTGTGTTTGTATGCATGTGACAGAAAGAGAAAGACAGAGAGGAGGGAACATGAGAGAGCAAGAAAATGATGAGTTTAGGGTAGTAATCAAAACTAAGCTCTTTGAAGAGACATATACCATGTTACTGAAGTGATTTTAACTGAATTATATTTGACAGGAAATGTTATGGAGATTCTTACCAGCATCTGTTATATTAATTTTTGGCTTTTTAATAAAAGCCATCCTGACTGGTGTGAGATGGTACCTCACTGTGGTTTTGATTTGCATTTCTCTGATGATAGTGATGTTGAACATATTTTCATATGCTTGTTGGCTGCTTGTATGTCTTTGAGAACTGTCGTTCATGTCCTTAGCCCACTTTTTAATAGTGTTGTTAGTTTTCTCCTGTTAATTCCTTTGAGTTCTTTGTAGATTCTGGGTATTAGGCCTTTTTTGGATTCATAGTTTGTAATTATTTTCTCCCAATCTGTAGGTTGACTTTTAACTTGGTTGATAGTTTCTTTTGCTGTGCAGAAGTTCTTGAGTTTGATGAGGTCCCTTTTGTCAATTTTTTCTTTTGCTCTTTTTGTTTTTGAGATGTCAGTCATGAATTTGTTTCCTAAGCCAATGTCCAGAAGAGTGTTTCCTATACTTTGTTCTATAATTTTTATAGTTTGAGAGCTTATGTTTAAGTCATTAATCCATCTTGAGTTTTTTCGTGTATGGTAAGAGGAAGGGGATCCAGCTTTATTCTTCTGCATATGTTTAGTCAATTTTCCCAATGCCGTTTGCTAAATAGGGTATCCTTTCCTCAGAGTTTGCTTTTGTCAGCTTCGTCTAAGATAAAGTAGTTGTATGCCAATGGTTTTATTTGTGTATTTTCAATTCTGTTCCGTTGGTCTATTGTTTGTATCAGTACCATACTGTTTTAGTTATTGTTACCTTGTAGTACAGTTTGAAGTCTGATAATGTGATACCTTCAGCATCACATTAATTTTTTAAAAATTTTTACTTTACATTAGGTACATTTTAAACATTTTTTCAGGCTCTTTGATAGGTTTTGGACATACAAAGGTGATTGAGAGTTTAGTGAAAGAAACACACAAATGAGCATACAGTTATATTAAGGTTGAAAAGTGATGTCATTCATTCCGATAAAGAATACAAGGGAGGTGGAAGTAGAGAGACAGAGTGAGGGGGAATAATATTTTCTGTTCTAGACCCAAACATGATTAAGAGAACGCTAGGACCACCTGTGGAAAAATGGGGGATATACTGAGAGGCAGTGAGAACTGGAGGAGCAGGAGTCATCCTTGGAATCAGAAAGACCTGGGCTTGAACTTTTGCCTGGCCCCATCATTTATCAGATTTGTGACTTTAGGGAAATAACAATTACATCCAGGGAAGTAAACATTTCAGAAAAATGGGGTTCAGGGTACCCATTCTTTAGAGTTATTGAGGATGAGTATGGCAACATGTTACATATTTTAGCACAATAACTGGCAAAAAGGGTGCACCATAAATGGTGGTTCTGATACGTGGTAGTATTGCACAGTTCGGGTCAAATAAGGGATGTAGTAGACTGGGAAAATATAGGTTATTGGGGATAGTTCAGTGAGTGAGCGACTACTCTAGACAAGTCTACCTAACAAGAGATGCTCTGATGATTTCTGAATGTCTTTCTGTTATCTGAATGAAAAGATTACAGTGTTATCTAAATGGTTTCTTTGCCTTTCGGTGGTGACTAATTTCTTTTAAAATTATGCTTTGATTTTTCTTTTTAAAATGCACATATCAATATTAATTGCATATTTCATAAAAATACTTTCCTAACTTGCATGTCTTTAAAAAGGTGACTGCAACCATCTTCATATCATGTGAATTATAAATATAGCTATTTTAAGATTTATCAAGAA